GAGGGTGTGGGTTTACCTCTAGTTCTTAGCCACAGACCAATGCTTCATTGGCCACATTTTGGCATGGTGTTTATTGAAATGTATCCCCTATTGTTGATGCTATACATATTTTCCATTTTTCATTGGGTATGCAGTCAGAGGTGAACTTTCTAGGAAGGCTATCGCATCCCAACTTGGTTAAGTTATTGGGCTTTTGTTTGGACGATAAAGAGCTACTCCTCGTGTATGAATTTATGCCGAAGGGAAGCTTGGAGAACCATCTGTTTAGAAGTAAGAGTTGCTGAAAAACAGAAAGAGGAATATGAAGAAGAAAAAAGTGTAAGGAATTAGCTAATTTCTAGATGAATTGGTTTGGTTGTTTGTGCAGGGAATCCTAATATTGAACCCCTCTCTTGGGATATACGGCTAAAGATAGCCACTGGAGCAGCTCGAGGTCTAGCTTTTTTACATACCTCAGAGAAGAAAGTCATTTATAGAGATTTCAAGGCCTCTAATATCCTGCTTGATGGGGTTAGTTTATTTATTATGATTTATGTATTTTATATTTTAGGCTTAATGTTCTTATGATACTCCCTATAATTTGTTGCTGAAAGAACAAATAAATTGAAAACCAGTAAGAAATATGGTGGTGGATGTGAATTGCCCTTTGTGATTCTAAGTTTCCTTAGATTAATTTTTAGACTAACATATGTGCACATTGCTAAAATGTGCTTGACAATGCAATATCAGATTAGTTCTTTTGCAGCGGAAAGGAATGTCATTTTGTGAACATAAGCTTCTGTACTTTTCCTTTTCTTTCCCCTCATTATGATTTTCTACAGCTAGTAAATGGAGCCTTATGCTAAATTTAATTAATTATAAAACTTTGAAGATGATGCAAAATAGTTCAGAGGGCATGACGCCGATGTTATACCAAGAACACTTTGTTAAGTTGCGTTTGATTACACAGGGGAGAGCTGGAGATCCAAATCTATCCCTCTAGTCGGTTGCTTTAATTTTGATGTGTTAATAAGATCACTAGCAAAACTCTGGCTGGTTTCTCTAAGAAAGACAACTAGACTCTCTTCATATGTCTAGAAGTTATGGTGGAGCTATGAATTGTCAATGGAGATATGATATTGTAGCATGTGTTGCAAGAAGGCATTAATAGGTTTTGGGAGGGTCATCTCATTGAAAACTTAAAAATAGGCATGCATGCAAGGTACAATAATATCATCGGAGAGCTGATGGAGCTTTGGGGCCAAGGCCCTGACTACGTCCCCTGCTTCTTGAAACACTAAACAGATAAACGGCTTGTTTTTTAGAATGTAGGATTTATGAACCATCATTTATCATTACTAATATTCAACCCTTTTCATCTCAACTGCATTGTACAGAAATACAATGCCAAAATATCAGATTTTGGCCTGGCGAAGTCGGGGCCTTCTGGTGGAGAGTCACATGTGACAACCAGGGTCATGGGAACCTATGGTTATGCTGCTCCTGAGTACATTGCAACAGGTACGTGTGCCTTCAAGGACATCTGAAATGCTACTGAAACAGGCTGTTAAAGTAATAGTTTAGGCGATGAACATGTATACGTAACTCTTGGCATATTAATAAATCATCTAATGTGAAACTTCATGATAAACAGGTCATTTGTATGTAAAAAGTGATGTGTATGGTTTTGGTGTCGTGCTACTTGAAATGCTGTCAGGCCAAAGGGCGCTCGATAGGAAGCGACCAACTGGTCAGCAAAATTTGGTTGAATGGCTGAAGCCATTGCTCTCACACAAAAAGAAGCTCAAAACCACCATTATGGATTCAAGAATTGAGGGCCAATATTCGTCCAAGGCGATGGTACAAGCAGCGCAACTTACTTTAAAGTGCCTGAAAGCAGATCCTAGAAACCGCCCTTCCATGAAAGAAGTTGTAGAGGTGTTGGAACAGATAGAGGCAATGAAGGAAAAACCAAAGGCGACCAAAAGCACTTTCGCTTCCTCACATTCTAAACCCCATCGCCGTGGCCAACAACCAATTCAGCATCGTCCCCTCTTCATTCCAGGTCGCAGGGTGCCTAAATACGAGCACGAAGTAAACATTCGTAAACTAACAAAAAAGAAGGTGAAGTAAGCAGAATTGGACCCAACAAATTCTATGCAAACAAAAAATCAATTGCTCCTTCAACTTTTGATTAAAGTCATAATTTTTTAAGTGATTCCTTTTAGAGTAGAACAGATTCTGCTGTTGTAGTTGCCATTTGCATTCAGTGAAATGATGGTGTTGCAACTTGAAAAACAAGAAGTGTGATTCTTTAATCTAATGAAAACAGAGGGGGAAAAAAAAATCCTGGTGTTTTTATGCGGATTTTCTTGGGGAAAATATGACCCATCTCACTCATAATTTCAGTGGGAAGTGCTTTCTATAAGATTCCTAGGCATCATTCTATACATATTTATAAAACTTGGCTCTACCCGGCATGTTTACCCAGGATCCATGTGATTCAGGATCTTGATTAAATTTCAAATCACAAAAGTCCGGGTTTGCAATAGACATGATTAAACCCGAGTGACCTTGCGGGGTAAATATGTCTTATTACACTTTACATTTATTTTTTATAGTTTATTTTTATATGTCTTTCAATGTAGAGTAACTATATATAGAGCTTACAACTACATAGGTTATTTTAAAAAATTTTAATGTGGAATAAATATACTACATTTTATATTTTTTATTTAATTATAGCTTGCATTAACCTAAATTGTTTATTAGCTATACTATAATTCATGCTTTATTTTTAAAAAAACTATTATTCATATATATTATTTCAAAACCTTTTCATATAAAATATTAAAAATTTTAAATTTTTTTCAAGTTATTCTAAATTAATTTGTATAATTTAAAACTTAATTTTTTTGAATGGATTAACCCGGAAAGAGTTGAATGACTATGATTCTATAACAAACATATAATAGATCAATAAATTAAGTTTATTTTTTTTTTATGATTTTTGAGTCTGTCCAGATTACAGAAGTGGAAACAAGTGTGATTAAGCAAGATGGAAGGTTATAGTGGTCCATTTTTTGAAGATTAAGCATGTGTGGAAAGAATATCGGCTAAAGTCAAGCCACTTGAATTAATGATGAAGCACGAGATTCATAAACGCAAATCTGGAGATCTGTTTGAGAGTGTTGTTTTTATTATTTTTAAAGTGTTTTTTATATTAAAATAATATTTTTATATTTTTATTTTTGTTAAGATTTGCATATCAAAATAATTCAAAATACATAAAAATATTAATTTTTAATAAAAAAATTTAATTTTTAAAAAATATAGATACAATCACGTTTTCAAATACTTATTTAATCTAGTCATCCAAACCCAATAAAAATTTAAATCATCATTATTATAAATTTATTGATTTATTCATTTTAAAAATTAAATAATATTTTTTTATTTTTAATTTTGTTTCTATTTTTTTTTAAGAAGTGATTTTTTTCCTGTTGTCATTTCAAGGAAATCGAATTTATATCATATAATGACTTTCTTTCTTGAAAATTTATGATTTTTATGGAATTTAAATTCAAAAGTTTGAGACTTCAAAGCAAAGATTGAAATATTTTCCGAGAGAGTTTTATGCAAAGCAGATGTACGGATCGGTGGCGAATAAAGGAGATGATTACTAGGGCAAATAGAAATTTATTAGATGCATGGCGCGCGCCTGCCGCGGGTTAGCATAGTAATTATGTTTGAAGGTTATATATATTAAAAAATTATATAAATTATATTTTATTTAAAATATAAGTAATTGAATTACAATGATTTCTTGATAAAATATTAGAATCTTGATAATTTAAATTTTACTATTTTTATTTATTTAATAAAAAATAAATATAAGATAGTATGAGTATATATAAATTTAAAGTTTTAAATTTTTTTTACTTGAAAAACATATTAAAAAATTATACAAATTATATTTTACAATCTCATCTAATAATTTAAATTATTAAATTTAAATAATTTTTTTATGTTATAAACTAATATTAAATACATGAAATTAATTGAAGGTGTGATGCAAGTGTTTGATAATTTTATCAGTAAATTGTTTAGGTGAAGCAAAATCGAGTGAATCTAAATAGAATTTAGTGTGCACAAGAGATCCATGTTATAATTTTTTTTATAATTTCTTTTAAAAAATTAATCATGTTGTAATTTTTTTTTTTATAATTTCTTTTAAAAAATTAAATAAATATTGAGTGTATGATATAATGCATCAATAAATACCTACTTGATAAAAAACTTATCTCCTATACTCACTGGTAATTTATAAAAAATACTGACAAAACAAGTTTAAATTTTGGAGAAACCAATTGAGTTCCAAAGATAAAAATGTTTAGCCATGCTATCCTTACATGATAGGAACATTTTATTTTTAGCAATTTAAAAATAACTATACAATAACAAAATAACTCAACTACATCTTGTAAAAAAATCACAACATAATAATATTTCAAGAAACAATATTAATGCTATGAAGAAAAAAAGAGCATTTCTCCTTACATTATATGCTATTATAACATGCAACTATTTTATCTAAAAATTTAAATCAGTTTTTAAAATATAATTTATATTATTTTTAATACATTCTTCAAAATAAAAGTTTTTTATATTAAAAACTTATATATATATATATATTCATATTATATTATATTTAATATAATATATTTAATTTTTAACAAATAAATAAAAATAATAACATTTAAATTCATGATTATTTAACTATCAAAACTTTGATATTATATTTAAAAACCATCCCAACCTAATAGTTAAAATTTTTAAATTTATATTATCTTTTAATATATATATAAAAGTAAAAATTATATTGATCTAAAATGTAAATTATAATTTTTTGAAAGAATGAAGAAAAAAATAAAAAAATGTTGGAGTATCATAACAGTAAAAAACCTTCGATCTATAAATTTACATTGACCAACAACATGGCTGCTCTATAGTCCAAGCCAACAAGAAATTTCCCGCTTCCACCCAACCACCACAAAGAGAGAAAGAAATCCAATCGACGAGAGGTGGTCTTAACAAAAATTTCACTATAATAATTCGAATGGTTCTCTCTTCTCTGTTGAAAACTAACTGGTGTCCTGTTTTTGTACCTGTCCGTTTCTCCTTGTCGGTACACACAAATAAACTAAAATAACATTAATTATTTTTTACTCTCTGTTTTTAAGGTTTTTCATATTAGTTTGATTGGATTCGCAGGCTCCAAGTTCTGTTCGCGGAGATTCATGATTGATTTTCTCTGGTTGCAATATTGATCTCCACAGATCATAGGTAAGAACCTTGTTTTTTGATATTCGTGATTTAAAGTTGTCTAATTTGGTGTTTAATCTTTGCGTGACTGTTGTTTAGGTAGTTTTGTTGGTCTTAATTGAGTTCATTCGAAGTGGGTTTACTCTAATATTGTTAAAGATTGAGATTAGAGTTTCTATCTTTGCTTGTCTGATTGCATTAAATTTGTCTCTCTCTCTCTCTCTCTCTCTCTTTTCTAATTAGTTAGTTAGGGACTGGGCTCAGTCGAGTTTGGATTTCTTAATGTAAGGAAGAATAAAGAGGTTAGATTGAAGTAGGTACTCTTGTTGTTTTTGATGCGTTAAGGATGTTACTTGTTTCGATGGTGTTACAACTTTGAGGTTGGCATGGTGGTCTTAAATGAGATAAGCTGATGTGGGTTTTGAATAGTGATGTTAAAGATTGAGAGTTTAATCTAAAATTTGCCACTTTACGTGTGTTGTTGCCCATATAAAATGGCGTTTATTTTCATTTAATTAAGAATCTAACTTGTTTTGGGAGAAGGATTAGTTGACTTTGATTTTATTTCTGTTAAATGAAGTGTCGATGAGTATTTTTGTTTTAGATTATTCAAGCAAGGATGTAAATGGCTAGCTTGAACTAGGAAATATTGTTGTTGGTATATTTTGGGGAATTGGGTTTTTACTTTCAAGCGGTGTAGTTATATCCTCAGGGATAAGGATTGTGTTACTTTGGATGTTCTCATTTTAAAATGCTGAAGTTCATTGGTTTCTTTTATTTTTGTGGTGAATTATCTTTTAGTACAAGTGCGTGGGATTCTATGGTTACAATTGATAGCTGGATCTGACTTAGTGTTCACTGTTTCTTTCTCTTGACTAATTAGCCTTTAAGAGTTGCTAATGATGCCATATTTAGCATTGGCCTCAACCTAGCTTTCTTTGTTGTTGCATGAATTGTTTGTATTGCTTTTCTACTTGTATATCAAAATTGCCAATCCACTTGCTACTAACACAGTAGCTAATCTTGTGACTTCTGAATCATAATAGTCTCTGCATTAATATTGTGGATTTGAAGCACTGACTTAGTATAGAGAATAATCATATGGGTGTGATTTATCCTGTCATAGCTCATCAAAGATGTTCATTATATGTATGTGTTGGAACTTGGAATCCATGTTTTTGAGCTGTGCAGAATGAATGAAAGATACATTTCTGCTTGCTAAATCTCATTGCTATTTACGTATTTTTACGTGAGCACCTTCTCTTTATATATTGCACTAATTCTCTACTGATTCTGGAGGGGTCAACTCCACCAAAGTCAACTAATTTTCTTTCTCTCTTGAATAGGTCAGTTGACACTTGCATTCTTGTTTTAGATTACAATGGACAAGCAACATGGTAGTAGATTAAGTGAGCTGTTTGGTAGTTTGGGTAGTTTCTTCAGAAAATGCATGTTTTGCATTCTATCTATGGGTCCCATCCCCAACCATTTTGCATTCATAATGGATGGAAATAGAAGATATGCTAAGAAGGAAAAATTGGAAGAAGGTGCTGGTCACAGAGCAGGATTTTCAGTTCTTATGTCCATGCTTAAGTACTGCTATGAGTTGGGAGTAACTTATGTCACTATTTATGCCTTCAGCATTGAGAATTTCAAAAGGAAGCCTGATGAGGTTCAGAGCCTGATGGATCTGATTCTGGAGAAGATTGAAGGGTTGCTTAAGGAAGAAAGCATTGTGAACAAATATGGTATCAGGGTGTATTTTATAGGTAATTTGAAACTTTTGAGCGAGCCTGTCAGGGTGGCAGCAGAAAAGGTTATGAAGGCTACTGCTAAGAACACCAAGTGTGTGCTTTTGATCTGCATGGCCTATACTTCATGTGATGAGATTGTGCAAGCTGTCCATGAATCCTGTAAAAATAAGTGGGAGGAAATTCAACCTTGTAACTCACATAAAAGTTGCAGCGGTAGGGTTGAAGAGGTAGATGGCAAAAGCATAGATGATGGCAGTGGCCACAGTGTTCAAGAATTGTTTGGAGTTCAAACAAATGAATTACGAGCAACAAGGGCAAGCACACTCTGTAATGATGTGGCTGAAGGAGTAGAAATGAGTGATAAAAAAAGTGGTGTGGTTGGGCATGCTGTCCATGGATCCTGTGATAAATGGGGTGAAGTTCAATCATTGGAGGCAAGTAGAATTGGAGATGATGTAATTCCAAATGTAAAGAGTGAGAAATTGCTGGAGGATCTTTCGATATTAAAGGTGGTTGACATTGAGAGCCACATGTATATGTCAGTAGCTCCCAATCCTGACATTGTGATCCGAAGTTCTGGGGAGACCCGCCTCAGTAACTTCCTACTTTGGCAAACTAGAAACTCCCTGTTGTATTCTCCAAATGCACTATGGCCAGATATGAGGTTGTGGCACTTGGTGTGGGCAGTCTTAGACTTCCAGCGCAATCATTCTTATTTTGAGAAGAAAAAGAAGCAGTTTTAACCACATTTTGACACTACAGAAGATTCTTTCTTCTCTTCTCTCTCATATTACAGTAGTTGTGCATCTGCGATTGAATTCTAATGGAAACTGGGAAGCTCAAGAGTGAGATGCCTCACCCTTTTGTTGTAATCTAAAGAGTCTAATTTCCATGCCTGGGCACTTCCAAATTACACTGATGCTTTGAGGTGGGGTACTTCCAATTTTGGAACCATATTGAATTCCTCGCAGGCAACAATTATCTTTTTTATATTTTGGAAAATCTTGAATATTAGCTATGATCTCTTAGCCGGGGGTTTACTGCTTGTATCATATAATTGCAATGGACATAAATGATCAAGCGAAAACATTTGAAAATGCAGGGGAGAGAATACTAAATGGAAATAAATCTGTGTTCTGTTCAAGAGTGCTCAACACCAACTTTAGCTGATGACCACATAAAGCTGTGTACAAGAGTCAGAGTAATGTACTTTGAATCTGTTTTGTAGCAATCGTATCTTCCTTGGTAGCAAAGATTTTTCAAGGCATTTAAAACAGCATGATTTTTTTTTCTCAGGGTACTTGATTCTGTCGAGCATACTTTTCTTGTCTGTGAAAATCTGGGCATTGATTATTATGGTGTTTGCACGATGGATCTTTGCATAAGATTATCTTATCTTATTTCATATATTTTTTATTGTTCATTAAGGTAAAGTCATTTTCCTATGTGACACCAGCAAGATTTGTATATCAGATAACTCAGTCTTGCATTCATATAATTTGTGTCATTCCCCACTCATATGCACTGGAGTTGGCGATGGATCAATTTAGACTGAATATGTGTTCATTAATTTGCCATTGGTTATAGTTGCCTGTGTTTGGCACCCATGTCCCCTGTCTCAAACAGATAAAAGCCTTTAACCTAATTGCTGGATTATCCACTGTACTAGTTAGGTATATGAATTGGAGTCCTATAAATCCCCTGGTCATGCTTCTGGCAACAGAGACGGACATAGCTCATTATTTACACCTATATATTCTTGCTACATTAGTCTGTCTTAAATTTAATGGTACTTCCACTTCCCTCCAAAGCCAGCATGTGCTCAAATCCCTTCACTTTACCCTGTACCAACATGACACCTTGAACGAAACTGGGCCAGGTCTAACTCAAAGCACAGGACCTTTTGGCATCTTATACATGCTTTGCAACTGTTACATCCAACCCTTCTTCTATTTTGTTCCAAGAGTGCTGCTAAAATCACTAAGAATTCTGTTATTCCCACTATACTTTTTAAATTGAATAGTAAATTTGTAGTTCTGTCAAAAGAGAAGAAGCAATCAACGATTTGAAGTCACTGCAAAGGTGTTCATTGTCAAACGAGTCCTATAAATGACCCTGATCTTTCCATTAACGACTCCAGAGATGGCCATGGCTTAATCTCCACCCCTGTCTTCTCTCTATTTTATTTTTTGCTTTTTTATTCAAGGGCACGTCCAGCACCCAGCACAACCACAACGACCTCAAATCCCTTCACACTACTTTGTTCTCTGCGAACATGTCACTCAGAATAAAACCGGGTATATCATCGTGAATGGTGTGGCTGGACCTCACACCACATCAACTCTTGGCAGCTTGCATGTTTTTCGAGAGCCCATGATTGTTACACCCGACCCATCTTCTAAAGTTGCTGGCACTGTTTAAGGATACTTATGGCATCCAGTTTTGATGGGTTTTGGGTCCTTCTTGTTCTTAAGTCTACTTCACAATTGAAGCAGCTCAGGGGGTCCATTGTCATTGCTGGGGGCTTTAGTAACTGAAAGCCGTCTGATGTTCCAGGTGGTCAAGAAAGAAATAACTGTGATTGAACGTATATTTGGGAGGTAATTTTCAACCTTGTTCGCGACTCTCATAAAACTTGTAATGGTAGCGCGGTTTGATCCAGTGACAAAGGGGGTGAGTTTTATCATTTATTCTAAATATCATTTTATTTTGCTTTTGATTTGATGGTAGATCCTACGAAACGAGCGGCACTTGATTGGAGCAGTAGAATTGATATTATAAATGGAATTGCAAAGGGAATGCTTTATCTTCACGAGGATTCTAGGCTTAGAATCATCCATCGAGACCTAAAAGCTTCTAATGTATTGTTAGACAATGAGATGAATCCGAAGATTTCTGACTTTGGAATGGCAAGGATTTTTTCAAGCAATGAAGACGAAGCCAATACTGCTCGAATAGTAGGAACATAGTAAGTGCTCTTTCACTTTGGAATCTTTTTCTCATAATTGCCTCAAAATATGAAAAACTTCTATCTAGTCTCATAACCATACAATGAAAAACTTTAAACTAGTCTTAAAAATATTCTTAATTGGTCCCTTAAGGATTAAGTTTCAAAAAATCTAAACCACCTCCTTCACTATAAAATTAATCATCACTGAGAATAGTGAATACTATGGTGATTCATTTGAGAATTTTAATTGAGATATAAGTTGTTAGTTGCAAACTGATGATGGTAAGAAGAAAAGTCTTCTATTGAGTTTATGTTTTCTTTGGTTGTTTTAATGGGCTTGTATTTATTTTTATTTTTTTAGCTTGGGTTTGATTCCATCAAGGAAAATCCCTTCTGAGAGCAAAGATCATTTGACTTTTAAGTTAGAAAACACATAGATAAATATAATGTATACAGGGAGAAAATAGAAGTGGAGTGTGTTTAACTATTTGTGCGTGGATGTAATTTGTTGGTTTTTGAAAAATATTGTTCTTCATGTCTAATAATCCATGGATATTTATACACCTTCAAGCCACATGAATTACCTATCACAAGCATAGTTTTTAAACCCGGCCCGGTGGCTGACTCGGTCTAAGGCCCGGGTTCCGGGGTTTGACCGGGTCACCGGGTTTTGACCGGGTCGAACGGGTCAATTTCTATTTTAAAAAAATTTCAAAACGACGTCGTTTTAATAAAAAAATAAATAAAAGTCAACGGGTTACCACCGGGTTTTTGACCGGGTTTTTCCGGGTCGTCCGGGTTTCCAGGTCAACCTGCCGAGTCGTCCGGGTCATGTCAGGTCATGACTTACCTTATTTTTTTATCAACCCGGCCCGGTTCCAGCCCCGGGTCGGCCGGGTCCCGGGTCAACCCGCCGGGCCGGACCGGGTTTTAAAACTATGCATCGGAGGCGAGAGAGCGAGAAGTTGCTGATGGATGATCCTTGTATATATTTATATGCTGTAAGGTCTTGAATATTGGCTTTCTAATCTTTAAGCCTGGGGTATACCAACCAAGCCGTGCCATAAAGCCCACTGTCCGATCACCGACGTGCGGAGACGTCCAGGCTGGGGTATAAACGCGATGTGGGGTTCCAGAGGACGTGCTCGTACGGTTCACAGAAGGATTCTGTCAGACTCTGACTCCTTTGTCAACAAAGCTTTTCTCATGGCATATACAAGATGAGCAAGATTTTTTTTTTTCTCTTGCAATTTTGTGAAAGACTTTAACAGGGAACTTGATCCTGTTAAGCAGATCAATTCTCTTCCGTGACATGTTCTTGACGTTCATGATACTGTAATTTTGTGCTATTTATACGATAAGATAATTACACTTAAATAAATATTTGATTTGGAGGGGAGGCTTTCGAAAGAATAATTAAATATGTCGATGCCATATCTCACAATAGAAATGAATTAATATGATATATTGCTTTTAAATACTTAGATAATTATCTAGCAAGAACCTCCACCATTAATGCTCAGATCATGCCAGAGCATTATGTTGCTTCGTGGCGTCTCTTTATCTATGCATTTCAAGTTTACTTATCACTTTCTTATTTTTATTACACATGTTAGATTTTTATTATTTATTATGAGAAAAATAAAATTTGATTATAAATTCCATAGATAAAAAAATTAAAAAAAGAGCATTATTTTTTTATTGCTTTTCAATTTTATATTTACACTGAAAAGAACCCATCACCCAATTTTAGAAATTAAAATAAAAAATGATTAAAAAGTTTTTGTTAATTCTTATTTATTTACTTATATGTTAGATTCTTTTGCTTAGTGATGAAGTGAGTAAAATAAATAGTTAAAATTAATAATCACATAAATTTTTAAGTTTTTAATAATTCTAAGAACAATTAAACTTATAATTATTAAAAAATAAATACAAAACCTAAACCTACACACCTAACAAATTAAACAACACCTAAAAATTTAATTACTTAAGTACTTTGCATAGCGACGACCGCAGCGGCTGTTCTTTGAAGCTGAGCTCATGCCTTTGCATGCTCTTGACGACATTTTATGGCATCTTCCAGAGCATTGATTTTTTCCAACAATTATACTAGAAGTTAAGAAATTCTGTAACGCTACAGATATTTCTCTTCCACATTTTTTTTTATATATTTTTATATTTTTCTGATCAAGCACTTGAAGGTATTTGATATTGCAGTTGAATCACACTCTGAAATATTTTGATTTTTTCCAACAAATCAAACACTTTCAAAAACAACTTCTATCCCTCTTTAAAACAATCACATCGTATAGTCACCACTGTAGGTCTGAAAAAGTAACAAGTCGAAAATGGAGGCTGGCGGGTGACTTTTGAGCGCACAAGTCTGATTTCTTATGAGCCACTGATCACAGTTGTACAGGCGGTGGCATGCATGATGCTTGTGGTTTGAAAATGAAGTCTCGTCTACTTCCACACTCGTCAAACACCCCCATTTACTTCCAAACTTGTCAAACACTCCCATTTGGTGACTCGCATAAACACGTTTTTCCTAGGAATTTTATTGGGTGTTCAAGAGTGTGCAGTAGTGATTACGAAATATTTAAAGACATTAAAAATATTTTAATTTCAAGAATTTTCTTTTTAAATTTTTAAAAAACACGTATTCAAAGACTGCTTTCCTTGCTTCAGTGTAGAAGGATTGACTGATTCAACCAGTCTCTGTTGAGGCAAAATCATCAAGATACTGGACCGATTTGCAAGTGGCTGCTAGCTGTCATCGGAAGTCTTTTTGCGTTCAAGTCCTATAAATGACCCTGAATTTCTCACATTCTAGCAGCGACAAACATAGAGCCATGGCTCAAAATCTGCACCTCATTCTTCTTGCAACTCTACTTCTTGCTCTTTCTTTTAAGGCCACCTCCTCCTCCCGACACAGCGGCAACAACGGGCTCAAATCTCTCCACTTTGCACTCTACCAGCATGAAACGATAAACAAGACGGGATACATCATAGTGAATGGCGTGGCCGGAGCAGGGGTTGGTCAAACCACAACACCTTTCGGCACCTTGTTTGCTTTCCGAGATCCGATGACTGTGACGGCCAATATATCTTCAAAGGTCGTCGCGATTGCTGAAGGCACCAC